GGTATGGAAAACACTTTGCCTGTCGAGGTGAAGAAGGATGTGGGAAGACAAAAGGTTGGACACCTATTGTACTTCTATGATATCTCCTTGAAGCAGGTATCCTGGAAAGTGTATCTATAGGCGAAGCTATTATTTCTCTTACCAAGCAGACAAAGGTATGGTTGCTTAAAAATTGGGATATTAGTTGTGCAATCATAGGGAAGTTCACTCAGGGAAATAAGGTCGAAGAAAAGTGCCTGACCCATCGAGTTGTAATAGACGAAGGTGAGCTCGATTTCTTAATCCAGGATTGTATTAAAGAGGGAATATATGCCGGTAGCGATAAATGTCCGCTTGGACATATACTTACGTATTATGAGGGTCATCAACCTCAATATACACATATGCGTGCCTCAATGCTAGCATATGCCCATATAAACTTGCTAGAAATACTCCGAAGATTTGGCCCTAATGAAGTGGTAAGAATCGCAACAGATTCTATATATATATGAAGAGAGGCTTTATATAAGATTGAAAATATATCTGCCTTCTTTAAGCAAGCTAAGCGCCCCACAATCACAAGGAAGGAGCAGATACCAGTAAGTTTCAATGTCTGCATAAAATTCCTTCTTGTGCAATATGTGGAGCAGGAGTCTTTTATTTAAAAGAAGCAGTCAAAGAATTTGCCAAAGAAGTGAAGGTTCACTACGTGAACAGAATAATGGGCTATTTATCATGTAATGAGCATAAGCCATTCGTATGTGCTGTTTGTTTTGGGAAATGGCACTTTCGCTCAGATCCTTGGAAGAATACCAGTAGAGATGTTACCAAAGAGTCTGAGCCAAAAGAGGAAAAGATTCGAGAAATACAGCCTGTCCAATAGCGTGATAAAGGTGAGAAGATTCATGGACCAGATCCTAATGTCATATACTGGCCAAAAAATAGGCATTGGAAATCGATTAAAAATATTACTGAGAGTACTGCTCCATCAATTCGTGATTCTATTACAAGATCTTGAGTTTCGTATCTCAATGGAGGCGGTGGTTCTGGAAAGACAACGCATGCAATTCGAATCTTCAAAAACATAAACATGGTTGTTTTTACTCATACAAATGCACTGGCCAAAGACTTCCAAAATGACCGTAAGGTAAAAGCCCAAACTTGGCATAGCTTCTTTAGGTGGAATGGTGTAGGAGAGTGGACTCCTGAACGTATGGGAGAAAAGAAATTTCCACGAGTAGTTATCTGGGATGAGGTATGTATGGTACTTAGGCATATTCTCGAAATGTTTATTAACTATTTGCTAGAACAAAAGTGTCAGGTAATCTGTTGTGGAGATGATGCTCAGCCTCCGCCATTCTTTGGAGAGATGCCTCATAGCTGGTTAAAAGAGCGAGCCGATTACTACGAGGAAATATTGACTGACTATCGGGCTAAATATCCTAGATTACAAGAGCTTAAGAAAAGAATGCGACGCTAAAATAACAGAATGCAGTCAGACTTATTTCGCGAAGCACTTCCAGTTACAGAAAAATGGGAATATCTTGAAGCTGAATGGAAGCCTTCAGACCGTATATTGTCAGCATATCTACTTTCCCGAAGAATCGCTTTCCAAAAATGCTTAGAACTTCATTGAGAGAAATATCTCAATGCACCGATCCCACTAATCTATAGGCCAAGAGATGGACGCAAACAAAACTGCCTTGTCCAGATCCCCGGCTCATCCGAAAAAAAGGAATTAGTAAAAAATAATATAATACACCTGCCCTTAAATACACTTCCTAACAAATTTTTAAAAGATATGTTAGCAGACAAAAAAGTCATAGATTGGGAGCTTGGATATGCTATGACAATTCACACTAGTCAAGGAATGACTCTCAAAGCTCCACAGTGTGTTTGGATCATTGATGAAAACTTAGCCTGGGATAACCTAATTTATTTAGCAGTTGGTTGTGTGGAATATTTAAGCCAACTCATTCGGGTTGAGGCATCTCCATTACCTCCTGAAATTGCCCAAGAGATTGAGGAAGCAAAAAAGAAAAGACGGCTAGAGCATGAATTGAGACCATCTATTCAGGAAAAACTTATTGGATATATGGGCCAGGACAAGGAAAAAGGTCGTGAATTTGATTTAACAGTCGACTATATTCTCACATTAAAACGAATTCAAGAAGACAGATGCGTATTATGTCTTATAGAAATGAAATTCGAATGGGATCGACCAGGAGATATATTCCAGTGGACAGTGGATTGAATCCACAATAGTTTGGGGCATATACAGGAAAACGTGTGTCTCACTTGTCTACTCTGCAACCGAAATCACAGAGTCTGAGTCACTGCCATGGCTAGATTAGTAATATGGTGCATATATGCAAGTCGGAGGAGGCAAATCATAGTATTTACATAATTATCAGATTTTTTTCTAGCATAATAAATATTCAGTTATAGAATAAATCACTAAAATGTCATCCGGTATAGTGGGCATAGAGGATATTATAGATGATGTAAAAAAGAATATTAAAGTGGTATTCCAAAACGGGGTTAGAGCTGAAAAGCGACAAGAAGTTTATATAATTGGGCTACAATTAACATTAGACAGATTGGCACGAGAGTTAGAATTTACGCAAAATAACTATCAAGGCATATCCGCCAATCAGATATTATGCTAAGGTATTGAAGCGTGCCTCAGCTTTTTTCATCATAGGGCCATAAGGTTTATATAACCATTCTATTACCCATCTTTGGATTTTCTTAATAGCTTGAATATATTGATATTTTTTCCAGACTTTCCAGACTTGCTGAATTATCCTGGCTGGCTCATCACAAAATAGGTGAAGTATACATTCTTGATCATTGCAGGCAGTATTACGAGTCAGATAATACATTTCTCCATTAAACTTACCTTTTTCAAGTTCTTTTATACTTCGTGCAATTTTGTCTATATTACGTTTCTGAGATTTAATGACTTTAAGTACCTTATAAGGAATATCATAATCTTCTTCTTCTGAGCGTGAAGATTTTATATATACTTTCATAATCGATTGGGTTTGTTCTAAACTAAGATGATTATATGTCATAGATACAAAGTCATCAACATCAAAAAATTCTAGTGCTTTATATGCACAAAAACTAGATCCCCAGTTTCTGGGAAGTAGGCGAATAATTTTATAATCAAAGCTAGTCATTATTAGTTATATACTTTAGTACAGACTCAGTTTTATTTATTTTTTTGATATAGGCAGGTTATGCTTTAGCACCTTCGACCAGCGCAGTACGATCAAAGAACTACATAATTAAATCAGATAAGCTCACTAGTAATGGCTAACCCGGATCAAGCTCAGCCAATTTATTTTTTCGATTAAAGATACAACATATAATACAGACTGTTAATGGCGCATACAAGCATTTTTATTATACCAGAATTATTAGAACAGATTTTACATTTCTTATTGATAGATAAATCCCTCTATCCCTCTCTATATGTTTCCCAATTGTGGTACAGATGCGGTGCTCCTATTTTATGGAAACGTATTGAGCTAAAGGGAGGGGAAGCAGAGGATCGAATTCAATTAGAAAGATTTTTAAAAATAGTACCCGGAGGAGGAAGAAAGCCAGTTTATAGCTCAAAACTAACTCATCTTAAAATATCAGACTATCGGCTTTCAATTAGAAAAATCAAAAACATTGTACGCACATTCTCAAATATAATTCATTTAGATTTCGAAGAAAGCATGGAGTGTGTTGGTAAAGTTCTAAAGCTAATAGCAAAAATATATCCAGATTTGAAGTATCTCAATATATCCGCTAGGTGTTTTAGTTGCAGGCAAGTAAGAAATGGAATATCACACTTTAGACATATTTGTCAAGTTCGAGGAAATAGTGATATAGATATATCTGCAATTACAACTTCGTGCCATAAATTAGAATATCTAGATATTTCTCATCGTATGGAGTTTACTGAAACATCAATTTGTAATATTATTCACTCTTGCCCAAGGCTCCAGCATCTTAACCTTTCTTTTTGCAATATTACCAATATAACTATCGAAGAAATAGCTAGTTTATGTCCTAATTTAAAATATCTCGATCTGAAAGGATGTGAAAATATTAGCAAAGAAGCTGTAGATCAGCTCGTTTCACTTAATCCAAATGTCCATTTTGAGAATTTCCAGGATACTATAACACCTCCTGATTTTATTAGCGCATTTAGTGATTATCTTGGTCGATATGCTATTAACCATAATTCGGTTCTATCTCAGGTACACCGACAACCTATATCTATGACAGTTGACTCTGGTGCTGATCACCACATTATAGCTATGAACAGACATTCACCGACTCGAGGTATTATTTCCACCTTAATGTCGAGAGCTGGTGATAAAATACTAGCCAATCAGGCAGAGTGGTACTGTACTTTACCAATCCAGCTAGTCCGGAGCGATGATCATTAGTTTGGGAGATTTTTGCTGGGTCACAGTTTTCTGCGCAATGATGTAATAGCCGATCATCAGTCAGGTCTTATGCGACATATTAATTTTCTATATATTCGTAAGAGAAAACATATTAACCTTTATTCTTTATTTTTTCCCGAACAAACATGAGAAAAATGTGAAAGGAGGTCTAGTTGCAACACAGGACCAGCTCTAAAAGTAGATATTAACGTCAAAAGCATATGTTGTAAAAGGCTGAGGGAGTCACAATTTTGAGATCACCAGGCGTAAAACCAACTATATGTATTGCAAGGTAGATCTACATGTGAAAAGGTATGAGGATTCCGTTTACATGTGCTTTCATGAAGCTTTTGGCACCAGACAACAATACTAATTACGCCATATACCTCCTTATCTTTTTTCCCAGCAAGATATAAAGCATGTAGAGGTATGTGAAAGTTTAGCCAACATCGCAAAATTATCTCAGAAAAAATAACGCAAAATTAGGTATGCGCTGTATATGCCAGATGTATAGGAACGAGTTTTTCTTACTATGGCTCTTGCATTTAGAAAACGAAAATGACTCACAGGAGTATTGTCAATCTTAAGTATTGCATCCAGGATGGTAAGGATGAGATAACTTACATAATCTCACCCTGCAAGGAAGATAAGGTCGCTATTCTCGAATTTGCTGTTAAAACTCTATTAGCAAATCAAGGTTACCAAGCTCTCTCCCTCAACTTCGGTCTATACGTGAACGATCCTAAGGAAAGTAAACTCATGGAATCAGGAGAAGAGATCTCTAAATATTTCAATAAGCCCCTTGCTCAGGATCAAATTCACATTCTCATAAAACCTAGGGATAATTAGTATCATGCTATGTAATAGTTTTATGTATTGTAAGCCGACGTTTTTTATTTCTTTTATTTCATAAATAAAGTATTATTTTATGTGGTTCGTAAATCTTGAAAAATGTCACGTGTAATGATGTAATATAATCGCCTGACAATCCTGTACTATATCTTAATTGCATATATATTGGGTAAATGCATAATCAATACAAAAAAAAATCTATCATTTCTCTCCGAGCGCTTTACACCGGAAACCAAAAATACTTTTATATCTATAAACCAGCTTTACCTGTAACAGCAGTCAAGTGCATATTTTTTCGCAAGCACAAACTCACATATATAAAAACCATGTCTTCACAAGCTTCTTCACCCGCTTCACCCGCCTCAATAACGGAAGAAATATTCACTAGAACAATGTCGGACGTGGTTAAGGATTTTAATACAGAGGAGCTTATCAATTATTTGGGGAGGAAAAACTTAAAACTTGATAAAGATGATATTAAAATTCTTCGTAAAGAGAAAATTTCTGGTCTTGCCTTCCTTGAGTTGACGGAAGAAAAATTTCGCAGTATTGGGTTAGCATTAGGACTAGCAACAACACTTGCAAAATTTATTAAAGGTCTTGGGCAAAAAATAAGAAACTATTCCTCGCTTAAAACTCTCGACAACCTGAAGGAAATGTTACATAGAAATAAGGTCAATGGGGAGGATATAACAAACATCAAACAGTTTACTCCCAGTAGGTAATTAATTATTTTTTTGAAAGTGACTAGATAGCTATATTAACTTTATTTTTTTCTGTAGTCTTCGAGGAGATTAGTGATGATGATAAGGCATTCAAACACTGTATGGAGGATATTATCTTAAAACTTTCAAACGTGGAAACCATGACCGATGCTAACGAGGCGACGCGCTGTGAATTTATTTCAGCAATATTACATGCATCTATCGC